ATGTTGGGGTACAGATTGGCTCGCATCTGGACAGAAGACGTGAAGAGAAACTAGCGTTTTGCTCTACAGGAAGAAGTGGGGTTTCCCATCCTATTCTGTGTGCAAGAGTCAATCCCAGTGATTTTGTACCTTCATGTCAGGTATTAATCACATAAAGCCGTGCGGAGAGCCGAGCCAGCTGTATCTTTGCTTTTCCTGGATGTGTCTGGCACTTACTCTGGTCAGCCACACCGACACTTGACAGTCAATTGATTTAAATTATCCATAAACCATGTATAATAATACCTACCTCCTAAGCAACCCACAGGGATATTAGTACAATTAATTGGTTAATATTTAAAACGTTTTTTCCTTGTTGCTTGAGAGAAAAGCTATATAATCCCAAAGGTATTATTACTATAGGTTTGAAATCGCTTCTTGTGCTTTCCTGACACGCCTAGGCTTTGAGTAATTGTGATGTCTCATCATGGGTGATTGACACCTGGAGAGCGATCCCCGGGCTTGCTCCAAAGGGTGGAGAGGAAGACCAGACAAAACCAGGTGGCCTTCAAAGTTCATTTTAGCATGGCTAAAATTCGATGCTTTTGCGAAAAAGGAAATGAATTGATATTTGAGTGAGATTATAGATTTATCAAACCTCGATCACTAGATTTACTGTGTATTTTTGTTAAATTCCAACAACAAATATAAACAAATTTAGAGTTTTACACTTTAGGACCTTGTTCCACTCTGTCATTGCAATTTATTCTCTTTTTTAAAAAAAATTCACGTGGCAACTTCTGTATCTCTGTTTCTGTATCTCTCTGGTGTTTGGAAACCTGGACGGTGACACACACCTCACTGGACTCCAATCGATTCAGCCTGCTGCAGCGACTGCTTTGTGGCGCCACCTTGTGGCTATCTGTAAGGCTGCGGCCGGCGGGGTAGACGGTATAATCACGCCCAGGCGCCAGCCTCTGAAACCCCCCAAAAGAACAAAATAGTAATTAAAACCCACAAAATTGTGCTAGTGCGCGCCACCTGAAGCACCCTTTCCTAAAGACATAACATGTCGCTGAAAGAACTTGTTACAACAACTGCCTAATGGAAAACAAGTTGATACTTTGAAAAATAGGATCTTTGGTCTTCTCCAGTAAAAAGCAAGTGTGTAATTAAAACTCCAACGTTCGCAAAACGGAATAAGGAGACAGGTAATGCGCCTTCCAGTCTGCCTGGATTTACTTCCTAGTCGTCCTTTTGGCCAGAGATGGGAAAGAGTGAACTTACTAGAAAGGCTGGGCTTGGGACTCAACATGGACTCCACCACTACCGCCATCATCAGAGGGCACTACTATTAGCTGCACTCTTGCCTGCTGCTTCGTGAGCTCCCTGCTCAGCTCCTGATATTTACTGAGATGGCCTTTTGGTGTCTTGACTTCAAATTCCAATTCTTTGTCACCATGATGTTTTGATCTAATATAGAAAATAATTTTTAAGAATGTAATTACCATAGTCTTTCCTTCTCTCTGCACTTTTCCTTCCACACCAGGCCTGTCCTCTAGACTTCTTGGGTGTGGTAAGTTGGTTGTACATTATTTCCATTAACAGCTTAGAGTTCAGGTCAGCTGAGAGCTAGAAAACGGCACATTTCTGAAATGAAATATGGCCTGAGTCCCCCTTTATATGGGAGAGAAGATGTGTGCATGTGGAAGAAGAGAACCAAGGCAATGGGGAGGGGTAAAAGAGACTGACTCAACTGCATTTGGAGAATCAAGTAGAGACTTGAGGTAGTCTTGAGGTATTAATTCTGATAATTCAGACACATATCTGAGTTTGCCCAAACGGTTTTATTACTGCATCACAATATCCAAATAAGTTCCTTACTTTGGCCTAAAATCAAGGAGATAACACTATAGAGAGCTGTCTGTCACCCTTTGTTTACAGGTCAGAGCAGAGATTTGCCTCCCGAGACCTGAGGGGAGCTAAGAGGGACTTCAGATCGAGTTGGGGGTGGCTGCCTGCGGGAGACCTGCTTCCTCCGGTCAGGGCATCCCCGCCC